GGACAGATACTTAAGTATTTAAATATTAGAAAGAAAATACTATGCTCTCTTTGGTGCTCAGTCATCCTGCTCATCAGCAGTTTCATGTGAAATTCCTCTCCCATGACCTAGTCATAATGAAACAACTAGCTCAGGATCTCTTCAGAGTGGCCAAGCACTTGCAAACTCCCACAAAACTTTTCTGGACAGGATAGTTTGGTCAGTAGCTACTCCTTTAGGTCCAACTACAGAGGACTACAGAAAGACCATAGAAGACTGAGCAAGTGAGTGGTAAGTCATCTCAGTGCAGACAGAAGTGATTTATGTGGAGGAAAATAATGGTAGCATCATATGTAAAATAACATGTTCTCAATTGCTGCTTGTAACATAATACTGAGGATATGACAGGCAAGTCCACTGAAACATCATCTTGATAGTTAGTAGCATTAAAAAAAATCAACAGGAGGACTGGAGGGCAAAACAGTGAACACATCCTTCTCAAATGGCACATCCTGTGCAGTTCTGGATCCTCTCCCTGGGAAAGGGCATAAAAACTTGGAAAAGTTCAGAAACATTTGCTAAAGATGATGAAAGGTTTGGAGTAGTCTCCATACAGGGAACAAACAAGTAAGCTAGGACCCTTCAGCTTGGACAAAAGATGACTGATAAGAGAGATGACAGAAGACAACAAAACCACAAGTGTACTGAAGAAACTAATCAGCAATCAGTAGCTTGCTGTCACTTTCAGTGCAGGAAGTAGGGACCACTGAACAATACTATTGGGAGTTAAAATACTACTTTGCACAACAGGTAGGATTTTGGGGTGCCCTGCAATAAGATGAGCACTAAAAGTTCATATGGTCTCAGGGAGCAAACTGATGAAGGAGAAATACACAACGGACTGTTAAACCCAAAGACATCATCTCTGGTCCAAGAAGCCCCTGGAGGATATTCTGGGCAAGGATCATTGTACGTTTATCCCATTCTTATAGAAACAGTAAGAATTGTTTTGGCCATAATTGTTTTTCCCTTTGAGAACAGGCAAAAGTCCATTGCTAACACACCTGAAAGCCTTTGAGCTACACAAAAAAAAAACCAAAGGAGTCTGTAATTTCAAGGGATGACAAATGGAAAATGGGAAAAGGCAAAGCATCAGAAATACAAGGAGGCATTCAGGTGAGGCAGGAGTGTACAGGCAGGTTCCCAAGTGATGGTTCAGTGATGAAGTGTCTGGAGTTAGCCATCCTGCCAAAGCCCCACATGGATAACTCATTTAACAAAAAAATTTGGCTGCACAGGCTAACACCAACAGCTTGCTTAAATGTTAACTGAATAGAAATACCAAATGCAGAAGAAGCTTAAATTTCTAACACAAGCAGCCACATCCTAGGAAGAAAACCAGATTTTACTCAAAAAGCAACACTCAGGTTTGTTTAAAAAACGCAGAGCAACGAATTAAGTAATAAATTAAATACAACCATGTGTTTGGTACGAAGGTGAGTGGCAGGTGTGGAAAATCCACATGGATGGACAAAGGTGTGGACAGGTGCATACCCAGGTGAGTACATGATGCAGGTTACCATGGTCTCTCCAAAATGGGCCCTGGCAGGGCATGGGCAGCACAGTGCCTTGCAGCCCTGCAGCTCCCCCCACACCCTGTGCCAACCAACCTTCCTGCACAACCAGCTGCGAAGGGCAACGGCAAAAACATGCAGCGCTGCGAGCACGCCAGCGACTTTATTGGGACGTTTGTTGGGAATACAGAACTGCTGTTGTATCCACGCTGCTTTGCTGGGGGTTGTTTACAAGACTCATTCTGGAGAGAGAGGAGGGAGAGAAGAGAGCGTGTGGAGTTCAGCTCCAGCAGCAGTGCAGCATGAGCACACCACCCATTTTTTTCCTGGCTGTAGTCTTCCCACTGGAAAATGAAATGCACTGATTTCCCTTTGCTGCAGCCTCGCTTAGAGGCTGTTACAGGAGCTAAATAGCTTTCTTCACTGCTAAGTCTAAATTCGAAGTTCATAGGCAGGAGTTTGTTAAGGGGTCTGTATACTTTGAGAAGCCTCATTGACTTCTAATAGGATTCAGACATTTAAGCAAAAAATAAATCAGCCTGGTGGCACTAGGCCATGGTATATTAATTCTGCAGCAAACTGACATTTTTTAAAGAAAATTATAACCCATTTCCAAAGCAATGACTAACATTAGGTAAATGTTGAAGAAAAGCTATAAAGCAGTAGCCCATGTGGTGTTTCACCTCCCTTTCTAAGTTTTTCAGTCAACAGATTCTCCAAAGGATCCAGCAGCTGTTCCTGAGGGCATCTCTGAGTAGAACATCATTAGACTATTCATTTAGATGCATTAAATTATTTTCTGTTTTCCCCTCTATCTCACACAAACCCCCTGCCCTCAGGGCAAACATTTACAGTCCTGTTTCTAAAACCCAGCAATGTTAACTAGAGAAATCTCACAACATTTAACAGGGACACCTTACGAGGATGGAATTCAAAATTTCTGAACTTCAAACCTAAGATTTTTGCATTTTCAAACTTAATGTGATTGCATAACACTTCTCTTTTGTCTTCCTTCTAAACTATTTGCAGCAACCCACATTCAAAACCACCTGAGCAGAGGTTCAGCCACCTGAGCATCAGACCTGCTGTGGCACAGAGCTCAGCAGAGATAAACAAAACACACCCCATTTCATCAGGCTCTCAGCCTGGGAAGCTAGTACAGTGTTTTCAGCCACTATCTTGAAAGTTTTGGGCATCTCCCTTTCTGGTTATCAAGGCAAGAGTAGCTGAAACAGAGCAACTGGTATCAACAAACTTGTAGCATTAAAAAAACTCCACTAAATCTGCAATCTCTGGATTTACTGGGAGATATGGAGTAAAACTGCTGATCAGCACAAGAAAATCAGACTCTTAAGTTTCTTGGCTGAAATCTCCCACCTGCTCTTGACAGGAAAGAAAAAAAAAACACCTCCAAAAAGTGAAAGGCAAAGCAAAATTTCATAGATAATGCAGGAAAATGGGACTACTCAGAGGATTTAAAATGATGCAGATGTGGGCTCTTATTCTATTACAAGTCTAAGTTATACCCAATTTCAGTCAGTTTATGATCCAAGAACCTACTTTTCTTTAGTTCCCAGATAAAAGCTTCCTACTCTCATTTTAGTCTGCCAGTGGAAAGCTCAGTTGACAAAAACAATCAGGACTGTTCATTTTCTATACGGTTTGCTTTCTGCTGATTGTCTGTATCAGCAAGTATTCTTATCAGCTTAGCTTATCATAAACTCGTATCCTTAGCAGAGTCACTGACTGAAAGGAAGCTTAAACTGCTGCTCAGGGACATCAGTAGCTACAGTAACAGCAGGCATAATTCAAAACAAATTCTAGTTTCTTCACATAAGTTCTAACATTTGACCTTTTGATAATTTATGCAGACCATCAGAGCATAAAGATGAGATGGATTCAAATCATCCTCAGGGCTGAGTACTGCAGACTACAATGAGGGCTTAAAAATTACAATGGTCTTTCACCCTTCTTCCATTTCAAAGGCCCAATATGCCAGAACAAATGAAAAAGTATAAAAACCAATGTTGAGTTTCATGCATAAAGTTACAAGTTGCTAACATTTTTTTCTCACATATTTAAGAAGCAACTTTCAAAAGAAAATTCTGCTATGCTGCTCCCCAGCATAAGGAGCTGCCAAAAAAACTGTCCTGTCATATCAAAGAACCTTACAAACACAAAAAAAAAAAAGAAAAAAAAAAAAAGAAATAATCCAACCTTAGCAAAATACAAGGCCAAGAACTGCTTTTTTATTAACCTATTTTATGGACTCTCAAGAGGGAAATGAGTCCTGTCAATGGTTCTTCACTGCATGAGACTAATATCTCATCAGAGGACACGGCATTATTTCACTTTTATGTCTGTCCCTCAAGAATACTCCCTTCCATGAAGTAGTTCAAGGGCAGGCATCAGAAAGTCTGTCGTGGCAAGGTACAGCAAATGGATCCAAGCCATATTAGGACTTCATCAGTAAAAATACACATGGTAGAATTCAGTTTGACAAGCAAAACAAATATTTGCATCACCATGGTCCTAGAGGAGGACAATACTTTGTACCACTGGTCACTTTCCTTTCAGGTCAGCTTGATACAAGTACAGAGTACAGGGTACTGCTGAAACTAAGCCACAGAGGATGGAATTTATAATATAAGGTTTTGAGGTAGACAACTTTGGTTTTGTTCTTTTTAAAGTCAGATTAAGTAAACTACCCTTTTGGACCTAAATAACCTCTTTTAAACATGTACCATACAACAACAAATATATCACCACATTTTTAAAAAAAAATTATTATTTCAGCTATAAACAAGTATCTTGCCAAAAGCAGAGCTGACTCCCACTTGCAGAACTGACAGAGAAACAGATGACCACAGCAGATTTGAAGGACGGTCACAGACTCTAAACAGACACATTTCAAGAGAGGAGTTTGAGGCATGCTCAGCACACCTGAAGATCTCATTAACAACATTTCCTGGCTGTGTCTGTCAAGCAATTTACCACTCTGAAGCAGATTCTCAGACATCAGTCTCTGGGAAAATGAATTCTGCCTTTTTTTTATTTTCCCAGGATGCTGTACATAGTTTTATTTTGAATACTTGTTAGCCAGGTTGTGAGTCAGATATCCTACATGTGCATACTCACTCTGATTCTCTTATCCATTAAAGAACCTGTGGAAGCAGTAATCAGATGGGGTGGTAGGTGGGGTAAGCAATCTTAGGAATAAAAAAAAGTGGTTTTAGAATTCATGTGCTTTGAATGAAACCCCAGGTTCTTCTTCTGAAGGATTTCTAGACCAGTTACATGGGAGTCCATTTGTATATACCACTGCTCCATTTAAAATATGAGCTTTAGCTTTCACCAGTGCCTGGTCTGTTGCCAGCAACAGACACACAAACCCACCAGTAACAGGGAGCTTAAAATGGTGGAAAAGAAGACACACTCATGGAGAAATCTCTTTATAGCTTTCATTTAAAATATAAAATAGGTGAAATTTTAAAAGAGGTACATTCCACTCCAACCAAAACTTTAAAATATACTTCCATGCTAAAAGCAAAAGTCTGGATGTGAGCCTCATGGAAGCTGCCAAGCCATAGAGAAAGAAACTTAGTCTTTCACATTACTCGCATCCGTGTCTTTGCTTTCCTGGCTTACATGATTCTTGGCATTTTTACTAGATTGATCTAAATCCTCAATTTTATTTTCTATTTCCATAGCACTGCTTTCCACAGGACTCTGGGAAGATTCTTCCCCTGTTTCTGCTTCCATTTTTGTGACTAAATTGTGTTCTTTATCTTCCACATCCATTCCTTCTTCTTTGTGTGCCAGCCTATGTTGAGCTTCTTCCTCAGTTTTATTTTCCGATTCCTCCTCTTTCCTCTTTGCTTTAAACACTTCAACTCCCATCATCCTCAGGTAATGAAGTCTCTCATTCTTGGGCACAAAGGCACGGAGTGATGTCTTTCCTTGCCAACCACACAGCACTATTGGACACTGAAGATCATCAGGTTTTCTACAAACAAGCAGTTAAATTCAGTCAATTATTAGAAAGTTAATCTTCAAAACTTCTTTTATAGCCATACCCTGATAAATAAGTGTGCATGTTTTAACAGTGAATGCACTTTATAACTATCCATAGAAGATGAAAGTACATTGCTCTTAGCTTCGATATCTACACAGGTACCTGCTTGTCTTACAAGCAAGCAAGCAAAAACCCAAAAGGCTCAATGCTATTAAATTTCTGCAACAAGCCAAATGATTTTCTGGCTCTGGTTTCAAAACTAATACAAGGGACAGCAAGATGAAAGTTTACATTTAAAAAGTTCTCAAGAGCTTTGTCTGCAAAAGCTGTTTTGTCCACAAAAGTGAACAATGAAAAGTAACTTTTTCCATTCCAAATGCTGGACTTCACAGAGAAACAAACAGACAAATCACATGCAATGAACTCTGGATCTCTGGCAGGACTATCAACTCTCCTTTATAAACCTAAATACTACACTTCTTTTAAGAACACAGGCAAAACAGCTTCTTTTCCTGTTAGATTTGCTGTACCCTATCTGGCTTTACTGTAGACCTCACTGTATCTCCATGCCTCCACTTCTGGTTTTGCTGAGTGAGAATAAATTCTTGTCCAAGTCTTAGAAGTGCATAAATGAAAAGCAACACATCTACTTACTCAGGGTCTGGGTCATACTTCAGAACTATACTTCCCATCGCTGCAGGGAAAGGGGTAAAAACAAAACAGATGTGTTAGTTGGTACAATGTTAAAAAGACTGTAATCTCAAAATGTTCAAGAAAACAAGTTTTTAGACAGCCACACAGCCTGAGCTGGTTACCAGTTATCTGTAACAGTACACTGAATGAGAGACAACACCAGATTTTACTCCCATTTTTTTCAGATTTTTTATAGAAGCAACTGGCAACCCTGCCCCCTCCCACCCCCCAAACAAATTAAAATACAAACCCCATAAAATAGATTAATTTACTCAGAAAATCTAGCAAGGAACATTTACTTAATTAAAATGAACATAAGAGTATGCCAGACCAAACTTTAGATAAATTTTGCCTCCCATTTTGTCTCATCAAACACTGAAGCACAAGGATCAGCAATGGGCTGGAAATAAAACAACATAAACAAAAGGCTGAAAACCAGTCTTTGTTTCTCCTAGCATCCAGCATACAGGAGACAGAAATTTAACATGAGTAGACATTGCTCCCCATGTTTAAGAAAACCAAATCTGAGTACCTATATTTGATACATAAGATCATGACAAGCAATTGCAGATGACAAACAAACAGTTCCAGCTGGAGCACTAACAGGCGTAAAGATCAGAAGTGCATATGAAAATCTTTGCTCATCAGACATTTTAAATGCTGCCTCAGAGCATTGCTTCACAGAAGTCACAAGCTTGGCAGCTCTTGTGTTCTCCAGAGCTCAGAAACCTTAAAGGCTGAGATCAGAACGGACTCCAAGTTCTCATAGCACGCTGGGTTTCAGTAATGCTTACTTAACAAATTATCAAGTATATTGAAGAAAAATTGAGTCAAAATTTTTAGCAAACAAGAGTTTACGTCACAGGATTTGCATAGTCTTCCATATAATGTATAAAAATAATTCTGTCACAGCACAAATTACAAGGCTTACCCATGTCTTTGACTTTCTTCTGCGTTTCACTGCTAAATTTACTTAAGAATGGATTTTCCTGGGTTAGCAGAATTTTAACATCTTCTATGCAGACACTTACAATCCTTGCATGGATGAACGGGTACAGAGTATAAATTCCCTGTTTAGTAAATAAGTACAGTTATTTCAAAATGCAACCTCTGCTTTCTGAAGGAAAAATGTTAACAACAGTATGTCCTTTACCAAACAGCAGGAAACAGTTTTCACATTTTAAACCACACTGAAAATGCGAACTGTCATTACTCTGACAAAGTTAATGCCAGCTGTGCTACAGGCTCTAGAGGAAACCAAAGTATCTCCTTTGAAAAGACAATGCTGTGCAATTACCTCTTGTGCTAACCTGAACGCACATCCAAACTGTTCACCATCGCTGTTGCGAGACCAGACTTTAATCCCTGTGTTAATAACCTGCAAACAGCAAAGCCAAGAAGCATCAGTAAGAAGCATAAATTGTAAATTACCAGTCTGAAATTTGTTTTTCCCCAACAGGAGGAAGAAAGGATAATTCTTCTGTAATGTTTGTTCATTCGCACTGGACAGTGAATTAATGTGAAAATTCACCCAAGGGAAAAAGGAACTCCCACTATAAAAATGGAGCACTCTCAACACAAAACACCTTTTCCTCCTCTCCGTGTTGCAAACTGAACAGTGTGAGGAAGTTGCTGTCCTAAAACGAGGGCAATGAATTCTGAAGATCGAATTTTAATTTCAGTTTGAGTAAGAATTTTCCGTGTGATTCTAGGAAAGGCAATCAAGGACGAGATTTCAACAATGTACAAGTGCTTAGTATTAGGACACTATACCCTTCGTGGTACTCGAAGTCTCCCTACATACTATAACACACCAATTTATTAAAATTCTGTCAATTATGTAGCCACTTCCTGCATGGGGGATAAAAGAATAATTATTTATCCATCTCAAAGATCTGTTGCAAAGATGTACTGAATATCCTTGGAAATTTTCAAGACTTGACTGGATGAGGTCCCAGACTGTATCTGACCTAGCTTTGAAGTTAGCTCTGATGCAGGAAAGAAGCTGGATGAGATGACCTCATTCTAACTTAAATTACTCAGTTACTTTTAAGATCAGTCTTTAGCATTTGCAAGACATGATTTCCATAGGCAATAATATAAAAAAAATATTTCTCTCTAATTCACAAAAAGGACTTATTATCCTGCTATCACTCAGATTTACAACTTTTCAAAATGTTCACTTGCTGGAATTAGTTTGAAACGATGTCCCCATGTAACACAGCCAGCCAATAACTCAGCTGAAGTTATCTGTTATTCTTGGTAGGCTTTCAAAGCTCGTAATACTTTTATAATGAAGAGGCTCATAAATACCACAGCATCAATGTCAACTAGTGAGGTTACCTGGTGACTGTATAAAAATTCTGGTACACACACAGCAGTTATCTATTCCCTCCCTCTACTTTTAAGTTCTCTTTCAGTCACCAAAAATTTACCAATTTTAATCTTGGAGATTGCTATTTACCTCTCAAGAGACAACTCCTCATTCCTAACAGAGGAAGGATAGAGAGGAAAGTATTCATTCAGACTGAAAAAAGAGCCTGTCAGTGGGCTAATCCTCTGTATAAACAATAAGACTGACAATAAAGTTCAAGGAGATATCCACTGATGCATATGACCTCTGTTGTGAAAACCTGAAGATGAACCATACCTTCATCTTCTCACTGTTGTTCAGAAGCACATTCCTTAGCTCCTTAGAAACCATGTACAGCTGCCTCTTCTTTCCTTCTTGAGTTCGAGTCAGTAAATTCATCTTGGGAAATGATGGATCCAAAGCATAAAACTTCCTGCGGCCAATGATACTTGTTTTGATTAACTGAGCAATAAAAATACATACTCAAAACGCATGGGTTAACCCATTTCCTCTAGCCATCTCTGCAAACACTTAACACTTTGGCTCCAGAACACAAAGATTAGACTTTCTAACATGCATGACATCAGAAGAAAACAAGTTGCCGTAGACACCAAGATACACGGGAAAATTTCCAATGCAAACTCTAGTTGAGTATTTTCATTTAAGAATCATAGAATGTTAAGGGTTGGAAGGGAATTTAAAGATCATCTAGTCCCAAGCCCGCGTGCCATGGGCAGGGACACCTCCCTCGAGACCACGTTGCTCAAGGCCTTATCCAACCTGGATAGAAAGGTCAACAGACAGTCAAAGAAGTGTTCAAGTGTTGAGCAGAGGGGTTCCCATGCAAAGTTAGGCAGAAAGCTTTATGCATGACCAACTAGACCCATCTTTTGTGATGAACTGAGTTACTAATATTCCTAAACTACTAGGAATCTTCCCACCAAAACAGAAACATTTTTTTCTTACTGGATAGGAACGAACAATGGATCATCTTCAGGGAGAAACACAAAAGGATCTTCTTTAAAACCAAACAGCTTCATTTTTTTAGATGGTGGTGGTCTATAAGGAAAATAACATTTCATTTTCAGTCTTAGTAAAAGTACTTGGTTTAAAATCAGTATATTTAGTTCATTGAGTCAACACTTGCCTTATGGTAATGACACTATGCCAAACAGAATACTGACATTTTCCTATGCTTTGCTAAGGCAACACTACCCACAACTTAACTTCTTGAAATGAGAGAGTAAAAGCAGTGCTTGAAAACAGAAACCACAAAAACAAGTAAACAGAGATTTCTGAGGGAGGTGATTGTGAAGACAATAAAGAGCCTGCAAACATTAACTTCTGAAAGGAGTTTTTTTCTTTCACAGAGAAGAAAGTACTAACAGACTTTTCAAATGCTAGTAAGAAAACTGGATACTTTTCAAACTTGCTGAAATACCGAAAACATGGACATATAAGACAACTGAATGAATTCATTAATTCTTCTTGATCGACTTCTAAACAAGTCCAGTAACAAAAGAACTATAGAATACTCAGCAATTACAAAGCCGTACCAGGACAAATACTTAGACATGGTCCTTACCCACATACTCCTTCCTTTTTGCTTTGCTCAGTGTCTGAATTCTGCAATTCTTGCATTTTCTTAGACTCTTCATTTTCAGCAAGTGTTGGTTCTTCGGTGACACAGTCAGAACCATTATCTGCATTAGCTGCTTTAACTTCAGTATCTCCTGCTCTTTCTGGTAATTTCTGATGAACCTATTTCAAATGATAGTATTTTCAACACAGTAGAAATAGTATCTAACTTGTAACAGAAGGCACCTAAGTTCTCTCTTTGCATGAGATTAGTGCTTGTCGATTTATATGTAACAGATCCATTCAGGGAGTTAACCTGATTACTAGATCAAGACACCACTATAAATTGCATTTACCTCTAGTACTGATCAGGACAGTTTCTTACCAACTGTCCAATAAAGCTATTTTTGTACCATTTAGAGAATCATGTTCAAGCAGTCAGAGATGACTATCTTAAGACAGAATCTGTTTTCCTCCTAAAAGGAGGAAAGTCCTCAAAGTGACACACACATCCTGCTGCTGCACACCTTCTGTAAGGGTGCTACAATGTTCATCTTGGAACAGCAGAAACGATTTGGATGACACTTGCTTCTCAATAAATGCTCTTCCCTATTGCCACACACGTTTCACTCCTAAATTGTTCTAATGAAGCAAATCGAATAACCAGAAACAGCTAAAAGGGATTCACACAGGATGTTTCTCTCACAGACATGACGATCTAAGAGATCAAATAAATCATGTCAACTTCAAACCCTGTTGACAGGATTTTAAAGACGATTGACAACAAATGGATTAAAGTCAGATGGCTGAAGCTGCTGCTACTAACAGTTTTACATCCATTCCCCCTGCTGCTGATCTGCGAGACTAATCTGCTAGTGAATCACTCCTGAGCAACAAGCCAGAGAGTAAGATAAACTGAAATCAGAATTAGCTTACCACACAGCAGAAAAAAGCCTTCAGCAAGGGGACCACACACAGCTGAAGGAAGTGACAACTTCAGCTACCCAATCTAATCTGCTTTTGTAATTCTTTCAAAGCCTTAATTTTAGGTTCAAGTTTTATCCTGCTGTTTTACTCTCATTTAAAAATCCATCCTCCTTTATTTTCCTATTTTAAAAGCTGTCACATTTTTTTTAAAGTTCTTAAGGGATTTAGGAATTTACTTTTAATTGACACACTGAGCTATAACTGAAGGATGAATACAAAACAGTTATAGCATGTCTTTTATTGTGTAAACTTAAAAAAAATTATCCTGAAATGAAAAATTAACATTTTGAATGTTTTAAATGAAGTTACCTTAGGCTGACGTTTATTCCATGGCATTGGAGATTTTTTTATTAACACAGCCACAAAGAAACCACCTGTGTTCTGATGATGTGGCAATATCCTAAGACTAAAGAAAAAAAAATAAATACCGCAGTGTATTCATATCTGCATTCAGGCTCTCACAAAACACTAGAAGTGTCACACTTACATTTATTTTCAGGGTTAACTAAGTGTTCCTAGTAGGATTATGCAGATACAATTTATCAAGCTAGAAACAGGATCTAAATTAGGGCATTCTAGCAAAATTACTTGCATCACTGCAACGCATTCATTTCACCATTCACATTTGAGCTTTAATGACTCATTTCTAAACACTATTATTAGAGTGTCTGTGGAAAGCCTTTCATAGCAAATAAATCACAGTGTTAGAATGTTAAAGTTTTACATACTTTTCCAGTAATTTTGGCGATGTGCCTCTATTGCACACAAAGAATCTGACCTCTTTGTGTGAGTACTTGCTCCTCATAAGCAACTTGCCATAATTTCTCTGCATTCACTGGAGTTTAAATATTGTGCACTGCCATTACACATCAAGCAATCAAAATACACTCAGACCTATACAAACATAGGTCTGTACTGCAACACATTCCTAATCTGACATAATTATAATTAGCCCATCACCATACATGTTAACCATCAAGTCCTCATCAGATCTACTCAGGGAAAACTTACCAACGCTCTAGATTCATTGCCCTTAGCTTCTCTTCATCTTTTATTGGAAACATAGTGGGACGTATCTGTGTTTGTCTATTTGAAGGCACATCTTTCCACTCTTCAAACCACTGTCCATCTTTCAGCATTACCTTCAAAGGAACAAATACAAATACTGTGAAGAATATAGATCACCATTTTACAAGTTTTAACTAAAATACTTGTAAACCAAGATTCAGATGCCAAAAGGAAACTTTATTTTCTGGTGTGGAAAATTAAGTTCTTTAAAGTGTATTGTTCCTTTGTGCACTGTATGTGTGCATTTCAGAGCAGGAGATTCTTGCCAGCTGTAGTTCTTTGGCCCACTTCATATGCTTCAAAAGGTGTGCAGTCAAATGAAGACTGGTGCAGTATCAGCTATGATGACCTCTGATAACCTGGTAGAACATACAGAACACCAAAATCTAGTAGAAGGACAGTGGTCGAATATACAAGGAGATTGGTTAACCATCAGATTTAGGATACAGTACTACTTTTCCATGAGACTGGCTGTGAAACATTCTACTACAGGCAGCATCCAAGCAATATACACAGGAAAAGGGCTACTGCACTCTAGTAGAGATTAGAACTGAGGAATCTCGATTTCCTTACATAAGAAAGATGCCAGAACTCAGAACACATCTATAAATCCACTCCAAGATACTGAGTGGACATATCAACACCTCATTCTAGCTCCTAAGACACAAGCAGAAGGTTAGAGCCACAACTCTTGTAGGAAGGTATTCTGAATGCTCTTTAAGCAAAAATACCAAAGTGATAAAATAAGCCAAGGAAAATTTTACTTCAGAGCTCTAGATGCCTGGTTTAGTACTGAATGGTAAGGTTGTGACAAAGGTCACATCTGGGGACACGTGGGGCAAATGCATAAAATAAGTGACTGACATGAAGACCTGGTTTTGTCATTCAGGCAACAAAGTAATGCAGCTGCAGCAAAGGTGACTTCAGGACTGGCAAGTACAATGAAGTGTTTTCACACATCTCACTGTGATTGACTTGAAAGTTTAAATTAAGTGTTCTACCAGAAACTGAAACGTAAGATTTATCTAGATTACAATTTCAGTACGAGCCTTAGAACACAGATTTCATGAAGTCTGGCATTTCTCAGCCACTGATCAGATCACACCTAAAATACTGTGCCTTTCCACATTCCTGAAATAGAAATTACTGTACTGTCACAATTAGTATTTCAAGGCAAAATATGCTCCATGCCCTAGTGCTGGATGGAGACTGTACTTCTGAACTGCTCTTCATTGGAAGTCACAAGTGAAGCTTGAGGAAAACAAACAATGGGACAGATAAATAACTGAGAGTCCAAACAAGTCTAGAACTATTTTGGATGTACCAGGAGAACTGCCTAACATCCCTGCACTGTTCAGTTTTGGTTTACCAACCTAACCACACAGTATGACTGGCAGAATGACAAAGTACCAAAGAAGACACTGAACTCTACTGCACATTTTACTAGCCACTTGCTACGGCAGAATGAAGAGTAAAAGAGCTGCAGAAGTAGATTACCAAATCTGGAGTTAAAGAGGTGTCTTCCTTCAAGAACAAATTAAATCACTGGAATTCACTCATTGTCTGGCTTAAGGAGAGAGTACTGAATGCTATTTCCAAGCACCTAAGTGTCCCTTGAACAACACCTTATTTCTGGTTTGCTGTTTCCAGAGATTATAGTCAACTGATAACTTAGGAATATTCAGTGTAGTCTCACACAGAGCTCCCAGTGAAGAGATGTTTCGCCATGGAACAAAAAACCACACCAAGTAAAACCAGCACCAAAGCAAGCAAATACATTCAGTGACAAGCTAACCAGCAAGTCTGGAAAAATTCAGTAGCAGCAAATAAGGGCTCAAGAAAGTCTTGCAAACAGGTTTTGTTAGCCTAGCTTTTAAAATACCTGTTAGGGAGATTTATATTTCAACTGCAAATGGAGACATAAACGTTACAGGGAATACAGTATACCCTTAGTGATCTT